CAAAGAGGAACACAGGCTACAGTAGAGAAAGAATGGAAGCAGTTAATAGTTTAAGAACTATCACTATCACTAAAATACAGACATATGAAATTACAACATTGAATGGCTATTAGCAATTGTCCCAGTCATTGGTTTTCTAACTCTTATTCAAATAAAGCTTTAATAAGCATCCCAACATTCTATACAATAAGAAAAGTTGCTCTGGCTGAATTTGTGGGAGGGATCTGAAATTCTGCCCAAACTCCAAACTTTGTCTCCTACCCGCAAGCTGTCCCTGGGATATTGCCCTAGAACCCTAGGGCTCGGAAGAATTTAACTTGAACATCATGTGGTTTTAGGAATGAAGGCATAGGCCTTTAATTTTTTATTTACACATTTAATTTCATGTTTAAGAAACTGAGATCTAGTATGCCTAAAAATGAACTATGCCAGGGAACTTTTGTCCGACTATAAACATTCCAACATTCCCAAAATAATGAGTTCATTGTCAAATGTCTCATCCTTACCTGGAGAACTAACCATGATAAGGAGAGACATGTGCATGAAATCCAGATCTCCTGGCTGAGGTCACTGAGCTCTGTTACCTCTGCCCCAAAATAGAAACCAATCACAGGCAAGCCCATTAATCTGCACATTGGAAGCACTTTTTTTTTTTCCTATTTTGAATATCCTTTGCTAAATCAAAAACTGGAGGATTCCATGATAGAATTATTGGCATGGAGCTTCAAGCTGAGCTTCAAGATGGGCAGGGTATATGGGGATGGGGGATTAAGGGAAGACAGTAGCAGTCAACAGTCACTGTCACATTTCTGCTAAGAATGCTAAAGCAGATTCACTGTCCTTAAACAATACAGGACACTAAAGCAAATGGTCTAGAGTTTTCAACTAGTCAGTTTTTGCTTATATGTACAAAAGAAAGCATTGTATTATCTGAATTAAAACAGGAGGGGTATTTATTGAAAAACATAAGATTTTGGATGATTCAGCTTAGAAATAAGAAGGAATCAGATTAGTCACTACTAGGGATATTTATAGTATCACCATTTCTAGATGTACCCAATTACAGCCCTACCCACCCATTCTCTTTATCCTATACACTCAAGATTCACCCTCCTGAGGCAGAAATATCTAACTGGTTAAGCTGCAGTCATATGCTCCTACCTTGCTGCCCTGGAATATGGAGAGAAGGAGAATTCCAGGTGTCTCACTCATAGCCACCTCATAGGGAATCCCCCAAAGCCAACAAAGAAATTACATAGATTCCAGGCAGCCAGAAGAATGGCAAGTGCCCCACTGTCACTTTATCCAGACAACATGAGTCAAAAGATTGCATTATTAGTCATAGCCATAACAACAGAGAAAGAGATAACATTAGAAGTTTCAATTCCAGGAAGAATGAAAATTCTTGGACCATAAAGAACAAGATGAAAGAAGTTTTAAGGCTTCAGTACATCCATTATTTTAGTGTGTGTGTGCGTGTGTGTGTAACACTGCATCATAACATTGCATGTTTCAGATGTTAATTGATGAGAATCAACTTGTGTAGATACTACGTTAAGTTCATGACAAAAGTCCAAATCTATCCTTTACCATAGCACAGTCTCTCTTTTTTCCAATTTACCTTTCTTCCTCCTTTACCTTCTGGCACTGATTAATTGGTCTTATAGTCTGTTTTATTTTTCTATATATGCTACATATGAGCAGTATCATATGATATCCTTTTCTGTCTGCCTTATTTCACAAGTATACTAAGGATAATATATTTGTTCTGTAGAATAATTTTATCCCAAAGTTTGTCAAATAATATATACGCCTCATGAAATATATATTTCATATATTTCTATTTTCCAGACTCAAAGTACTAGTTAGTTCATTAAACATTCTAAGAGTTTATTTCATTCAGTATTTTCCCAATTTCTTCACCATGGAGCCCTCAGAACCCCAAAAATCAGTTTTCCACAGAGCAAACTTTGTGAAATGCTGCTTCTGATGAAAAAAGAAACCCTTTAAGCCACTTTAATGCTAGGAAACATTTGAGGTCATTTTATGGGAGTTTAGATCTTCCTGGCTATGCAGGGAGGACCTTTCAAGTACAGAGTTCTTGAAGTAATTTAATTGACATTCATTTTCAATCTCTGAGACCATGAAAGTAATAGCTGCTTGCTCGAAGTTGGATCACAGAACTTTCTCAAAGATAAGGCAGGTAGAAGGGCCATCTCTCATGACCAATGGGTAAGGGGTGGATTCTTCTCCACAAACTAAATTAGCAGAGATTGACAGAATAACAGGAGACCCTTGAAAAGGCAAGTAAAGATGACAGGTAAACACCAGGATGTCTGGCTTCATGTGAAAGTCCTGTCCTCCATTCCTTTGTCTGCGGTAGTCCTGGGTCCACCTTCTCGAGCAACCCACACACCACGTGCCCTATTCAAATGCTTTGCCAGCCTTCATGTGGTCCATTTCTTTGTGATTACAAACATGACAGCTGAGAGCATGAGACAACACTGAAATCACTTCCTTTCATTTTTACTCCCTTTAATTAAATGGAGATGAAAAAAATTAATCTTCATCATGAGTTGAGTCCAAGACTGAGAGGTATCAAGAGTGTTGTTATCACATCCTACCTACTCGATACTTGGCTTCGTATCCAGGCTGCAGATTACTGAAGCTTGCCCATCAAACATGATTAATAACTCAGTCAGAGGTTTTGCACTGGACATAGTGTTTGCCAAAAATGGCAGAACTCAATGGAGCAAAGGGCTCTGTAGTGACAGTTACTTCCCTGACACATGACCCTTCTTTGTAATTAAAAACCAAACTCAATTATGCAGCAAACATTCAATGACATAAGTCTTCTCCTCCCTCCTTTAAGTGATAATTGCTGATACTGAGATAATTTTTGTAGCTTTAAAAATGAAGCCAAAGAAAATATGGTGATTTTTCAAACTATAGTTTGGACAATGTCTGCAGCCCCAGAGACCCATCAGCCTCACAGCTTCTATAGCCTCACAGAGATGTGGGATGTTAAGTGCCTTTGTTGGGGAGAAAAGAAGTCATGACTCTGCTCTCTGTGCCCCATTTCCTGGCATTGCTTGAAAACTTTATGTGGCAGAAATTAAGGAAAATCACGAGGCCTTACTATTCCCAGACACTCTGCAAATGAGGTGATACAGTCAGTGATACAGTCCAGGTTCTGTGGCTATTTCCGCTGCTGAACAGTTTTGTCAATTGTATCATTTTCCCCACTTTAGCACAATTTGTTCCTGACTGTTTAGTGTGGTTTCTTCCCTGCTGAGGCAGCTTCCAAACAGCAGCTGTGATACCACCCACCAGCATCCCAACAATGTCACCCAGCTCAAGTAAACAGGTTGTGCGATCTGACCCTCCTACACACACGTGCAAGGAAATGCTCCCTGATGCAGATTTCAGCTGGGGATGCCTCTAAGGGAGCAGCAGACCCACACAAGGGAGGCTAAATCTTGCCCCGTTTGATTTTGAGGGAATAATCGCTTTATTTATAAAGTTCCCCTCCTACCATTGCCCTGGAAAGCAGTCACAATAATGACTAGATAAAAACGTTAATTAAGACATCATAAGCCACCCTGAAGGCACAGGAATAAAAATAAAAGAGGAGGTTTCAAAAGGGTTGTCTAAAGAGAAATAAAGCAAGGGAGATACATTGCTGAGAGCAAAGGGCCCATGATGCGAGAGAGCTCTGAAGTATAGCACCAAACCCCCAGGACCTCGGCCAGACAGCAGAGAGGCGAGAAAGAGAAGCCTGGGCTGGCGTAAATGGCAGGTGGGGCATGGCGAGCTCGGCCATGTCTCCTGCAAAACTCAACCAATGGCACACCAAACTGGATGGGTCTGAGCACCCAATTATTTCCTCTAAAAGTTAAAGGAACTAAGCAGGAAAACCAGTCCCATTATTTGCATAATTCCTGTGTAAAAATAATTGTCTGATTCATGCTAAAATATTGAGTCTGTAATTTTTCAACCCTAAACTGACAATCATCAAATATCCCTTCCAGTCTTCAATGATGATAGCGATTTCCCAGCAGAAAGATAAAATCCATCTATAATCAGATTTGTAAGAAATGATATTTAGGAAAACTGTGTAATTAGAAAGGGTGATTGTCCATGCACACAAAAAAATACAAGCAACTCAGTCTCAAGATTTGTTCTTGCTTTGACTCATTAATATTGGAACCTAAAAATGTAACCCATCATGTTCAGTCAGGGGGAAATAAGTGACACATCATGGAGAAGATCACTGTCCGGCATTTTTCCTTACCTTCTTCATCCTGCTAGGAAAAAAAATTCTAGTTCTCTTGAATAAAGCAATGACTCATGTTTCAAGTACCTCTAGAAATAGGAAGCCATCCAACAATTAAGATTACTATAAATTGTCATAATATAAAATTGTGTATTATGCATTATAACACGTTAGAGTCAGCCCACTAACCGTAATAGGTAAAAGAACAAAATGAAAACTCTCCATCATGTTCGTACTGATTTGTGAATGCACATGCAGCACGGACTTCATGAAGACGCTTATGCAAGATGACCTCTTACTTGATTTGGCCAACTGTAGGGACCCATAATCTTGATGCTAATTATCAAGTAGGAACCACCCAGTCCAAGTACCTATACCAAGGGCCTAGAATGATTCTTGGAGAATGACAATCTCTCATTCTGTAATGGCATATGAAAGGCTAGTATATGTACTTCATATACAGTGACCTAAACAGTTTAGAACAGATTCAAACTTCAGATTGCAGCCCATCAGTACTCAGGGACCATGCCAGGGTAATCATCTCTGTGTTGATCCAATCTGTGTGTTTCTCATTAGTGAGTCCTGATCTTTGTGGAGATGCCAATTTCTTACATTGAGGCCTCTATGATTACATTCAAGTATTTGCTTATACAGTTACTCAGTGAATAACCCTTGATTATTGAGCAGTTAAAACTAAAAAGAGAGCGCCGGCCTTGCCTCCTACCTGAACTCCCTCTGCTGGGGTACTTGCTGTGGAGAGTAGCATCCTGGACTCAGGTGGCTGCAACTGAAAGGAAAAAATACCTGCTTAGAAGTCTCCCTGAAGATGCATGCCCTCACGAACCCTACGAGCATGGCCTCTGTGACCATATTGTGAGAGTACAGTCCACGGTGATAAGAGGTCCACAACCTACATAAAATTTAAATTTTAGCTTATGCAAATTAGTCCCCAAGTCTAATTTCACAGAATTCAAAAAAGGCAGTTGTCTAAGATAAAAACCTATTCTTGGCTTTCACTTACTCAGATTTCTGCCAATATTTACCTTCTTAGATTCAATAATGATGGGTTTCATATAAAATTAAGGCTGGTAGTAACACAGATAACACATAAAAATCAATCCTATGAGTTTAAATTTGTATCTTATTACAGTGAATTATTCTCAGCTACTTGAGAACCATGGGTTTTATGGACATAAGTGTAATATTCATAATTACAGTTATAATCATCAGCAAAGAGAAACTGTCTTTTGTATTAATACTACAAACCTCATAAATTCAAAAATAATGTTTTGATCTTCTGCTGTGTGCTAAAGAGCAGGCTCAGTGCTGGGAAAACAAATGAGCAAAGTGTTCCCTTATCTCAGACTAGTGCTGGGAACTGAAGAGTAAGCAGCAATTAAAAACAGTGACAAGTATGTTAGTGGTCAGACATGAATTTGACAGCAAGAAACAATAACAACAAAAAATTAATGGTAGCTTTAAAAGAAATTTATTTATCTTATGTAACAAGAAAACCAGTGATAGTCCCAGGGTTGATTCCACAGTTTAATCATGGCATCAAGGTCTTTTCATCTCTTGATTCCATGATCCTTTGTGTGTAAGTTTCATCTTCATGGTCACAAAGTGGCATAACTAGCACTCTGCATGCTATTCACATACAAGGACAAAAGAAAGAAGGGAGAGAGACCAAAGAGAAACATACCAGTCAATTTGCCCCATTTGGAAAAATTTCCTAGAAACTACCCAGAAACGCCTACATTTCAATGATCAGAAATGGATCAGCAACCTATCAGAAGAGAGTATGGAAAGATACGTATTTTAGTTGTACCTTGATATTCTCTAATTAATGAGGAGGATGTGGAAAAGTACAACTGTAGACAACTAGCAGAGTCTGCAACAAAAACTATGGAAACACCAAGGATTACCAACCTAGTCCAGGGTGGGTTTTTTTTTTTTTTTTTTAAAGGAAAAGAGAATTAAGTTTAGCACTGAAATGCCAACAAAAACAAGTGAGGTCTGCACACTGAGAGAAGCACTGATGGCAAGGAGAGATAGGAACAGCATTCCAGCCAAGGACACTCAGGTGCTCCTAGCAGGGCAGGCACTTCACCATGACCTGAAACACAGTTCCTATCCAGAAGTGGACAAGACAGAAGCAGGTGAAAAGACCAGATGCAGGGAGGCATATAAAATATTTTGAAGAGCCTGGTGGACTGCACCTCACTAAGTAGTTTTGACTTTACCATGGAGTTTAAAAGAGATCATCGGGCCTCCCTGGTGGCACAAGGGGAGAAGCACCGCACTATGAAGCAACCCACAGCCTCTGAAATACATGTTTGATTCCCGGCCGGCCAAGGAGAAACCCACCCACATGGCGCAGCAGACCTCTCCTGCCTCACCCGCGGCTCCCCTCAGCAGTGTGTTTCAGTCAGTTTGCCTGTTCTGTTCCCCACTCTGTCTCTGGTGAGTCCTCTCACCCCCTGCATCTCTGACCTACACCCCAGCTCTTATATGCATAAATAAGTAAATCTAAAAAAAAAAAATAAGAGGTCATCATGTCCTGATAGGCCTTACAGATGTGTTACAATCTCACCTCATGTCATCCTGCAGTGCAACCACTAGTGAGAGCACATTTTCTCCCTCTCTTCCTCCCTGCTTCTCTCCCTCCACCCTCTCTCCCTCCTTCCTCCTTAGTCACTTCCCTAAGAAAAGAGAAACTGACATGGTTGGAGAGTAGTTTGGGTGAAGGAAACAGAAAGAGAAGCTTGGGCACCTCTCCCTCCGTCTCTCGCTCTCCACTACCAGCAGAATGCTGAGACCATAGCTTCTTCACTTGTTTTGTGTATACCTGTTCTTATTGAGATCACTTTGGCTTATAATACTGTATATGATTCAAAGGCATGGGCTCACACCTCTTCAGATGCATGTGACCTCACTATACCCCCTCACTATACCCCCACCAAGGCACCACAGACCTCCACCACAGCCTCACCCCCACCCATTGCTCTCCTCCCATTTCCTCCTCCCCATCTGTAGCCTCAATTCTACAGTCAGATGCCAAGGGTTTGTTTATAATTTGGTTCTGTCTGACTCTTTGTTTTGTTTCTCTATATTCCACATATGAGTGGCATCATCCAGCCTTTGTCTTTCCTGGCTTATATGGCTTAGCAAAATTGCCTCCAGATCCATCCAGATTGTCACAAACAGCAAGATTACATCTTTTTTAGAGCTCAGTAGTATAGTTTTCTTTTTTTTTTAAAGATTAATTTATTTATACAAGAACTGGGGTACAGGTCAGATGTGCAGGAGGGTGAGAGGATTCACCAGAGACAGAGCGGGGAACAGAACAGGCAGACTGATAAAATACACTGTTGAGGGGAGCAGCAGGTGAGACGGGAGAGGTCTGCTGCATCAAGTGGGATTCTTGCTGGCTGGTCGAGATCGAACCCATGCTGCAGAGGCTAGGGACAGCTTCACAGTATGGCGCTAAACCACCTGCGCCACCAGGGAGGCCCTGTTGTATAGTTTTCTTCTGTTGCCTATCATAGCTGAGTCTCAAGCTCTTTCTCTAAAACCCCAACTGTTGTTGGTGACTTTCTCTCCTGCCCCAGTATCTCCAGTCATGCCATTTTCTCCTGATTCTGATGCTCTTAAGCCACACAGCTTCTCTGTCTTTCCTCCCCTCAGTGAGCAAGCAGGTGCAGGGAGACTGGAGCTCCTCCAGGCTGGCATGTGAGCTTTGCTGTCCTCTGCCTGATGGCTGGGTGGCAGGCACTCTTCACAGGAGCATTTTGTACGCCTAGTTGTTATTTTTCATTAGAAATAAACTTGGTTGGAAACTGAGCCTGGCATTCTCATCCTGCAGAATTTTGGCCAGAACTCTCCAGTGTTTCCCAAACAAATCTCTTCCTTAATTGTCTCTGGCAAAATATGTGAAAGTAAAATCCAAAAACAAGGAAAGTCTATGACATTGACAGTACCCAAATTGACACATTTGCCTGGTTCAAAGAACTTGTGTCAGAAAAAAAGGGAAAATAGAAATTGAAGCCACATGATCCTTACCTGGGCATGTTCTCTGGGTTTGTGTGGAAAGCTCATTAGTATATTCCCTAGCCTCTCTTGATTGGAAAACAAAGGCTACAGCTGTACAAACATTGCTCCAATAGTTTCCAAGAATATCAGTAGAGAATGGCGATGTCAAATAGCAGCTTTAATGAGAGCACTGCTGCGCAGAGATAGGAAACTTGCAAATGTTGGGTGTGAGGTGGAAAATATAGAATCACACAGAAAAGCTGAATGGTCAAGACAAAGGTTGAGATGAACCAATTCCAGCTCAGGGATGGAAAACAAATGGAACCTCTGGATTTCGCCTAACCAAAGATGCAAAACATGTAATCTTGGAAACATTTCCCACCAATGAGTTATAATCCAACTGCATATATTGTAACACCAAGAGTCCTGAGAGTTTCTGTTAATAGCAAGATAAATGAATCTGCAAATCAGATGTAGCTCTGATGTCACCCACTCTTCCCTTTGTCATGTCATTGCACCGCATCCCTCCTATTGAATTGGCAATGCATTTATCTACTCACATGGATAACTGGCGGTTGTTCATACCCAGTCAGAAACAACACTTGGTCATAGGCCAGGTGTGTTCTAGTGAGGAATGTTCACCAGCAAGATTTTTATTCCTGCACCTTTTTCTCTTGATTATGCCTCTTCAAGAAGAAAGAGACAAAACTAAATGTTCTTTTGTCTTTCTCTCTAGCCAGAATGCCTTAAAACTAAATTTCAAATAGCTATACCATAAATCACTTATACCATACAGAAAATATAGTCACCAATTACAAGGGCTGGTATGGTAGTGTAGACTCCTAGTTGAACTCCAGTTTGCTATGTCTGCATGTATGATTTGGAGCAAATTAGTCCTCTTCTCTTGGTCTCAGTTTATTCATACAAAAGAGTGAGGATGGATAATCACACACTCTTATAAGAATTGTCATGTGGATTAAAGGAATGACTAGAAAACAGCCTTGCCCAGAATAACCCCAATAAATTCTCATGGTATTAGCATTAGAAGTCTTATTTAATATTGAGGGTAGAAAACTAGGCTTTGTTGATTAAATATGTTAAAACAAAACTAGAAATACAACCAATGCTATGTAACTGCTATGGAGTTTGTGATGACTGTCTAAAAATGGAATTTTTCAAAGGCATGTGTCATATTTTAGGACCCAGCATCAGTTCATGGGTTGACCTCTTGCTGGGTGCTCCAGGGTGCCTAAAAATGACTACGAAGACCAAGGTTGAGGAACAAACACTTCAAAGGTCTAGATTGGCAGTTGTTAGGCAAGTATAATGCAATTTCTACAATTGTTTTTAATTAAGTTTTTAAAAGACTACCAGCTAACTAGGTAGAGAATTCAGCAAAATGCATACAACATTCCTTCAACAGATCACTAACATGAGGACATTTGAGAAACAAGACTTACCAAAACCATTGCTTGCAGAGTAAATAAATGCTCAGTACATATAGAAGGAAGTCCAGTCTCCCCCTTGCCTTGTGTCAGATAGAAAGAATAAAGGATTTGAAAAGGGTCTTCCAAGATTTTCAGTTTAAAAAAAAGTTGCAACACTTTAATTTTAAAAAAGGTTTTTGTTTTTTTTTTTTAACTAGAGAAGTATCATGAACATTAGTTTTTGACTGCAAAAAAAAAAAAAAAGTAGAGATATTTAGGTTGTGCAGAAACAGCAAGTTTTGCCTGTGGCAAATTCACAAAAT